ATTTATGCTGCTTAAACAATCATATAAGGTAACAACAGCATGTCCTGCAAGGGACTGTTCACATGGCAACCTGAAAAGCCTGCTGTTGCAGAGAATAAATACATACCTAATTGTTGGAACTTTGACTTTTTTTTTACCTTGGAAAAGTATTTACCTTTAGAGAACCTTAAGCTACTCATTCAACATTTAGTCTGTACCTTCAATCACATGGGAAGGCTTTATATAGAACCATAAAACAAAGAAGTTGTGAATGAGTTTATGGTATGTTGGTGTATAAAAGCTTTCGGCCCTTTTTAATATATTTTCCCTTAAGATGATAACACACAACTGTTTTCTATCATTTCCCCAGACTCACTAGACCAAACCCCTTTGGCAAAACTGGGGAGTACGTGTTTATTCTCTCACTTTTCATTTCTTAAGAAAAAAATATTATTTGTATAATGTAGTCATCATTTGAAGAACATATAACTCTTACACTGTTACTCCATTCATACTTTTTTTTAAAAAAAACTGTCATGCTAAATTAATCCCTGGTGCAATACTGTGTCACCAGTGAAGCTGTGACATTTAATGGCTTGGACTCTTTAGTTTTAATTGAAATATTTATCATACCAAATAGCTCCTCTGTCTTCAGTACTTAGTACATGGACCCTTGGAAATCCTGACTGTTTTGCTGTTATTGTCTCTTTCGTTATATAGTGTATGCTTTCCTCCTTTTTTAATGTGCAGAAGGTTTTCTCATATAAGCAAAATAAAAAACCCACTGTAATTTATAGCTGATTCATACAGGTACAGTTATGTGATTTTATTTAGCTTTGTTGTGGTTATTGCACTTAATTAAATAATTTGTTATTGATAATGAGCAATTTTGCAGGTAATTTATATCTGATTAAATGCAATACCTTGTTCTTCCTTACTTGTATATTTAGCTGCTAAAACCAAGATTGTCCTGTGTGTTGAGATCACTGCTGAATGGAGGGGAGTTTTTAATTGCAAAGATCCAGGTTTGATGAATATTTTAAATACTTTCTCTGTGATACTGTACACAGAACATCCACAAGAGGGAACTGTTTTACATAAAGAGGAATCATTTCCTTGCTGCTAAAATACTACTTTCTGGAACCAAACCCTCCAGATTTATGCCAAGTTGGCACAACTGTGTCCCAGACTATGCTACATGGTAGCAACAGGAACAACACAGGTAAACACAGTGTTTGTTATATTCTGTATTCAGTTAAATAAGTAAATTTCAAGCTCTTGTGTTGAAATGTGAAGTAGAACACTAACCTGAAAACTAATATGCATAAGTTTTGTGTTTGCTCAGAACAGATCTCTCCAGGAAACAGAGCGGGAAAACCTTGTTTGGTCTGAAGGCAATGTGAAATGCAGTTGTTGCCTCAGTAAATGAAGTGTGTGGGTCTGGTGTGCTTTTTCAAATTCCACTTCATAAAACCTGTCTAGAAAGCAAGCATTTCCTTATTCATAAAGGAGTAAACTCAGATGGTACTTGAGGAATACTCATTCAAATGTAATTTGTATCTCTGTCTATGAATCGGTGAACAAAATACAAAGTTACCTACTTTATATATGCTTTGTCTTTAGCAGATAATTCCTATTAAGCAAACTTCACTAGTAATGTACATCTCACCAATTGATATTAATGAGTTTACCTTTCTATGTGAGTTTCATCATAAATATTTGTAGAACTGAGACCTGTTTGCATAAATGAGTTTTGTTTATATAGATAACAGGAAAGGTTTTCTCCCTGCATATGTAGTGTGAAATTTATAAACTATAACTCCTAATGTATGTGTTGGTTGGTTTGTGAATAGTTTTTGAGCAGCAGAACTTAAAATCAGCTTTTTAAAAGGGACCACAACAGAACTCCTACCTCTGTCCAAATCTATGTGTAAATGTTGTGCAAACACATTCAAATCATCTAATTCTAAAGTACAACCCATATCCTGCGGTGCACTTGGTTTTCTTTAGTCTGAATTTTTCTTTAGGACCACCCTTTTTACTTGTGGGTACAGTATTATGGGGATGCTATTTTAGAAGCGCCCAGTGGTCCCAGTTGCATCTGGAGTGCTCATGAAACCTGTGTAGGCAGCACTGAGCTGCAATACTAGCCGGGGTCAAAGAAATGCTTTTAAACTCATACCTTCTGAATGTATAAAGTGAGAAAAAAAGATTTTCAGGCTGCAGCCTCTGTGTCAAATCTTCTGGGCCCCCTCAAAGAACAGCAAGAGGAGACGTGTGTTGTACCCCTGCCTTCAGAGACCCAGCCCTTGATATCTGACAATCCAGAATACAGAAGAAGGACCACAGTACAAAAGCCTTCCCTGGGATATGCTGTGCTACTGCTGTTCATTGCCCAGGTCTTTCAAGGTGCACAGGGCTTGCGGTTTCCATTAGCTGTAAGAGCATCCCTAAGCACCTGGTACTTCTGAAGATCAGGCATCGAGTGGCTGTGTTAAGATGCTCCTGCCCTCGTTCTACTCCTGGTGTTTGCTGATGGATAAAAGGATGTGCAGGTATGTGTGCAGCTGTGAAAAGGGGGCTCCCTGATCACCAACACCGGTGCACATGGCAAATGACCATCAGGACCAGGCTCTGAGCCCGAGTCCCGAGGTGCATGATCCTGCCTCACAACACTCTGTAGACCAGGTGGCTTTCTAGCTGTGAGGAGGGTTGGTAGTGAAGGACATGGGAGGGGGCAGCAGCTGTGGCAGCGCCGTCTGGGGTTGCATGTGGCAGCTGTGACATGCAGTTTCTTTTCAACCTCATTTGTTTCCTGCATCTAGAAATCCTCCACTTAATTCCCTCTTACAACAGCCTCCTGGGAATGAGCTGTTTCAGGTGCACTACATAAGTGACTATCCACTTTCTTCCGGGACAGAGTAATGTAGTATTTTCTCACTTTTATATACCTCCATATTATTATCTGATGCTTTCTCTATTCAGAACGCTTCTATTAATCCCTTCTTGAAAAAAGAAGCCCTCTCTTGAAGGAACAGACTGGAGGAACAGACTGGAGCGAGGCAACATGATATCAAGTTAGTCAAACGGTGGTGTTATTGCACAAAAAAGTGGAGGTGAGAGGGATAGAGCCCCATAAAAAGCTTTGAGAACACATAAAATCTCATTACTGTCACCTAAGTAGAAAACAAACAAACCCATGGTAGATGTAGAAGCAGCAACTACTACTAGTAAAGGTTAAGAGATTACTGTTTCATAATGGTGGCTCTGTGCATGTCTAGTGACTAGATCAGATGAGGAAATGTCACGCACACATAGGCTGTTGTACTTTACCCTTGGAAAGATGTCAAGAGGATCTGCATAATACTTTCTGCAGACACCCGGGTGAGCAGACCATGTGCCAAATGGAGATTTTGATTTACGCATAAATATAAATAAATTCATTTGCTTTTCAATCGGAACTGGAAAAAAAGCAGGAGACAACTACCCAGATTTTCTTGCTGGATTCCACCCCCCCACCCCCCCCCGGCGTGTCATTTTAAATTGCTATTTATATTTCTAAGGGTTAATTTCAGGAATGTTCTTGGGATGTGCAGCAATCTGCGGCGCGTTTGCAGTATTTCCCCGTGTCAGTTAAAGACAAACCCAAGCCCGCCTGCAGCGGAAAGACCCACGCTGCGCTCCCCCGATATTTATGTCACCCTCCCTCAGCGCGTTCCCAAACCAGCACCCACTCCCCCTCCCCCCGCCCCCCCCGCTCCCCCCCCCCGCATCCCCGGGCACCTGCTGCTGCAATTCAACCGCCCCCCGCAAGCCCCCGGCGCGCCCCCGCCTCCCGCCGCCCCCCGCCCGCCCGGCCCGGCCCGGCCCGGCCGCCCCCGCCATGTCGCGCTGGGCGGCGGCGGGGGGAGGGATGGGGAAGATGGGCACCGGGGGGAACCGGCGGGGCTGCGGGGGCCGGGGCCGCGACAGCGCCGTGCGTTAGCCGCTGCGTCATGACATCCGCCAAAGCAGCCCCGCGCACGGGAAGGGGGGGGTAGGGGGGGGAACGACACACGGGACCGCTGCCGCCTGCCCCCGCCCCACCGCGGCTGCGGAGAGCGCTGCGCGGCGGCGATGGGCCCGCCTGGGCCGGCGGGACTTGTTGGACCGGGAGCTCCCCGGCGTGGCCGAGCACCGCCTCGCCGCCACCTGTGAAGCGCCTCGGCGCCCCCCACCTCCCGACACTCACCTCCCCCCCACCCCCCCCCCCCGCCACCCGCCCCTCGCCGCCCTCCGGAGCGGCCGCTCGCTGCCTCGGCGGCTCCGCCAGCGGGACCGAGCGGCCGCGGGGCGGGGAGCGCGGCGCCGCCGCTCGGCGCTGTCCCCATGAGGGGCCGGGGACCCGCCTGAGCCGGCGCCCCCCAACCCTGGCGGCGGCAGCGCGGCGTCCCGGCACCCCTCAGCCCGCGGGGCCCTTCTGAGCGCCCCGGTCAGGGCCGCGTCTGCGGGAGCGGGAGCGGGGCCGGCGCGTCCCCCGGCGGCAGGCAGGGAGGGGCGGGGAGCCGGCGGCGGCGCCGCTGCGCGTGTGGGAGCAACAGCCTGAGCGACAGCCGGGGCCCTGGCGGGAGCTCCTGAAGGATGGGCGAGGAGGCGGCGGCAGCGGCAGCGCACGCACAGATGGGCCAGCGGAGGATGAATTAGGAGCCACAGGAGGCTGCTGCCGGCACCGAGGGGGGAAGAGGAGAGGAAGGGGCTGGACTTGCAAGAGGAGGAGGAGGAGGAGGGTGCGCGGGGGGGGAGACCGAGTATCGCTAATAACAAGTTAAAGACTAATAACAATAACAACAGACCACCTCCGGGAAGATCCGCGGCGGCGGCGGAGGAGAGATCCCCGCTGAGGCCAGCGGGGTTGCAGCGCTGGGTATCTTGGAGAGACGCTCCGAGGCATCAGTTTGTGGTGGTGGTGGTGGATGATTTTTTTGGGGGTGGGCGGGGTGGGGGCTGTGTATGCGGGAGAAGGAAGGGGTGGGAATCTGAGGAGGAGACTACCTTTTTATTATTATTTTTAATTTTTTTTTCTTTTTTTTTTTTTTAAATATTATTTTCGCCGTACAAGGAGGACGCTCGGAATTCACCGGCCTGTCGGCTCCCGAGAGGGACCCGGGGATTTTGTGCGGTCGCTTTTCTTCACCTTCTTTTGTTTGTTTGGTTTGTTTGTTTGTTTGTTTTGCTTTGGGTTTATTTTATTTTTTTATTATTATTATTTTTATTCTTTTTCCGCTGAGCAGCAGCGGCGGCGGCAGCAGCAGCAATATGGCTGGTGATGGGTTTTTTGGGGGGCGCTGGCGGCGGGAGGAGCTCTCGGAAGCCCCTGCGCGCCCGGCTCGCTGTTAGCTATGGCAAATGGCAGCGGCGGCGGCGGCGGCTCCTACCCGGGCGGCAGCGGCGGCGGCGGCGGCGGCGGCGGCATTAGAATGAGTAACAATATCAACGCCAACAATCTCAACACAGACTCGTCCTCCTCCCCCGTCAATGTGCCCAAGATGGATGCGCTCATCATCCCGGTGACCATGGAGGTGCCCTGCGATAGCCGCGGACAGCGCATGTGGTGGGCTTTCCTCGCCTCATCCATGGTCACTTTCTTTGGGGGACTGTTTATCATCCTGCTGTGGAGGACCCTCAAGTACCTGTGGACTGTCTGCTGCCACTGCGGGGTCAAAACCAAGGTAACTCCCCCCCCACCCCCTCCCCTTCCCCTCCTGGTGCCGGTGATGGTTTGGTGGCGGTGGCGGTGGTGGAGGAGGAGGAGTGGGAGCCCAGCCTCGTAGACCAGGACACCTGGGCGAGGTGGCACCGGAGGAGACGCCGTTGGGCTGTCACTGGATGGCGGTGCGCTGTCTGCGGTGGTGGTAGGGTCGCCACGGGCTGTGGGGAGCGTGGCTGGAGCGGTGAGGTGCCGGGTGCAGCCCTGAGACATGCCTCCCCCCCTCCCCCCCCCTTCCTCCCACCCACCCCACGCAGGGACACGCTTGTTGTCATCGGGCAGCACCAGTTACACCTGGTGTCCACTCGCCCCCGGCGTGGTGAGATGCTGCGGTTCAGACGTTGATGGGCATCCCCGGGGCCGCGTATGGTGGCGGGGTGTATTTGCTGATCTAAACTCTCAATTCTCTCGTGGAATGCGAAACTTGGGCAAAATTGAAAAGGCAAACTTCTCACTCAAATCTTCTTAACACTAGTTCCACTTCCTGAGAATCCTTGGTGGTTCCGTTTGATAAATGTAGCTAGCTAGAGGTGCTTAATGCAACGCACTAGATCAGTGTTCTTTTAACCTAAGCGTGAAACCTTTGAGGCAACCTCTCTGCCCCTTTGATTTTTGCGTATTACCAGCTGGAAGAAAGCGTAGTGTGTGAAGTAAGGTCAGCTCCTGGTTTGAAGGGTCTCCTTTCAAACCACAGCCAAGAACTTGCTCAGGTCAGGACTTTCATTTTTGTTTAAGACAGATGGGATAGAAAGTGTTAAGACTCTGTGAAAGTAGATTTTGACAGACCCCAAAATAGACCAGCAGCTGGAGTTTCTCCCCTTCCCTTTTCACATTTTTTGGATTACAAATGGAATAATATCTGCTTCAGTTATTCCTGGCACACAGACACCCACAAAAACACACACACCTTTTAATATATGGTTGCTAGGTTGCTGGCTTGCTTTGACGTACAGTGAGCTGTCTTCCCCTTTCTCCTGTCCCCTCCCCCCTAAACACACTTGATACAGTGCATAACCCAGCTGTAGGAAGGATCTAACACTTAGGGGAAATCAGAAACAAAGCTGGAGTGCAAGAAGTTACGGTTCTTGTTTGTTTGTGTATTTGGGTTTAGCTAGGTAGGCATCAACTTTGGGCTGCCACAGTGAACCTCCGCGTTCCAGTTGGAGGTAGAGCAGTTACAGTGAACTTGGCCTGTCTACGGAAGAAGTGATTGCTAGAGATAAGGAATAAATAAAAGCTTTTAACTCACCCTTAAGCTTCAGGAAACTTACCAGGCAGTATCACTTATCTGTAGGCATTTTTGATTTCATTCAAGACCTAACCTGAACTTTCTTAGAGAGGTGTTATCCAGGTACGATGACAAAGCTCGAATGAATTTGTGGTCATAAGCGTGTCTTGTAAAATACCATTTCCTACAACAGTAAAAGGTGATTTTCAAGAATGGGTGGGTAGTTAAGACTCACCTTCAGTTTCTTCTGTGTGTATTTAGCATTTTCCTCTCCACATGATGAGGCAAATCTGCAAGGGCTATCAGGGATCTTGATGAAAAAGAAAATCCTACAGGTTATCACCTCGTGCTTCTTTCTTTGAGAGAATGGAAAGTTAAGAGGCTTGTACACAGACATCTTCTGCACAGTGTCTTGGTGGGTGTTGTTGGTGTGATAGTCCATTGTTGGGACACAGTCAGTTAAAGCAGATCATTAATTTCTTAACCAGTACAGAAAGGTGTATCCAAGTTGTCTTTAAAACCTCTTGGGCTAAACGTATCAGTTCACTAAGTAACAGGTATCATCGAGAGGTTTCAACACTTCCAGTATGAATGATTTAACATTCTGCAGCTATGTCAGTTTGCAGGATTTGAATTTATTTCATGTTTGAGACCCAAAGTTGCTTTGTCGATGAATGACATTCCCTGGGGCAGGAGGATAAAGGACTCTACAGGTAGGGGGAGATATATGTCTCCTTTTAAATTGTATTTGTTCCACTTGTGAGGATTTTCAAGCCTCTGGTAGAGAAGAACTTTCAGGGATTGATCCTGCATTCCTTACACGCTGAAATGGTGAATTGGAGAGAATTCTGTGTGTGCAAGGAGTAACTCGCTATTGCAAAACACTTTTCTAGTGTTTAGGGTATAAAGGCTAACTGAAGTAACGACTGGAAACGTCTTAAACTTTGCTGTTATCAAACACATGCTTCGTGCTGCATGGTAACTCGGGAAAGGCTGCTGCGGCTGCAGGTGGAAAATGTGAATGCATATACATGCTATGTCAACTATATTGGACCTGTTAGCAAAAGCAATTTTAGAAGAAGTAGCTCCTCCTACTGTGGGACTGAAGAAGTTTTCTGCATGTTAGGACCTCTCCTTCCCTGTGCTGCCTCTTATGCTGCTCTGCAGGTTGTAGCAGAGTTGGGTTATCCCAACATCGTCTCACCACCTACAGAAAGAGCGGTCCCAGCAAGGAGCTGAAAGAAACCGTTCTCATGTCTACTTTCTGTGGTTTCTTATTGAATAATTCACATAGTTACTGTGATAACACCCATCTCCATATAAGTTATTGCAAGGAACTGCAAAATGTTTTATTTTTTTTCCCTGCTATATTTTAGCACAACATTGTATTCCTCAGATTTATCAATGACAGCCAACATGATTTTTGGATATAATACTTTTTAATGGCTGCATAGGAGGATTTAGAATGTGGGTTGTTCTGTTTTTTTTTTTTTTTTTTTTTTTTTTTTTTTTTTTTTTGTTGTTGTTTTTTTGTTTTTTTTTTTTTTTTCCTCCCTAACTCATTGAATTTAAGGTTAGAATTCAAAATCATGATATAAACAGTTTAACACTTTGTGGTATGAAACTTCACTACAGTGTGGGTCTTTTTTTTTTTTTTTTGGAGATAAGAAAGTCAAGATACTGCAAGTCAAGAACATGAAAACTTCTGGTAAAAGAATGATAAATGTTGCCCCTTAAAATTCCATATCCAATTTATGCCATCGTATATGACTAGAACATTAATATTAATCCTGTACTAGAAATGATTGCTGAAGTTTTAGGATTTTTATGCTCCATGCTTGCTTTGTGAGATGACATTTTTAAAAATCTGTCAAAAGGAAAAATGTAAATCTTGACCCGTGTTGTCAGTGTTTCATGTGAAGTGAGAGTCATTACAATTGAAGCCCTTATATTCCTTTAGTTAGTATGGTATGTAATTTTAGATGTCATTCTTCCAAAATTAGCTACAGTCATAGTGCAGAGAATTAACAAATGCTGTTTATCTCCTCAGTGTTTGTAATCTGCATTTTGAAGAATGCTTAGATATTGATAAAGAACCTATCTTCTCTTTGCTTTTTCTTTGTTCCTTGACCAACTCATTCCTATTTGTGTATGAAAAGTAGAATGTGAGGTTGAAATTCAGTGGGCTGGACTCTGTCACTATTAGTTCCTCTTGTTTCTAGAAATATCAGAAAAATAAAATAAATGTGCATGGTGAAGTACACAGGACACATAGTGGCAAAATGTGTATTATACAACCTGTAGTTCTTATTATATGGATCTGATACTGCATTTTCTGTGCTCTTGAAGGGCATTTTAGACTGACGTTATCTGATACAGTGTTTTGGCTTCGAACAATCTCTTAAGAAGAAGGAGCAGCGGGGTGGGAGAGCCCAAGTGTGGGGCAGGATCGGCTCCTGAGGCTGACCACTGCAGAACGAAGTGAAATTTGTACCCTTTTGAACAATGTGGTACCGGACCCTGTATCACAGGGTTCCCCCTTGGTTCCCCAAAGAGCGGTACCCCTTATGTACCTTCTGCCTTCAGGGCTTTGGCAGGTAGGACGTATCTTTGTCGCGGTGCTCCTGTTGGAGTGATATCAGTGTTTTGAAGAGCTTTTCTGCCACACAACCCAGGACTTGTATACATATAAAATGAAATTACATTATGATTATAGATAGCAGTTGCTAGCCTGAAATTACAAGTCATAATAGTCTTCTTTGATATTGGTCTGCATATTTTTGAAATTTGATAAATTACACCGTGCTGGATTTGGTCAGTAGAAACCAAGGAACATTCCTGCTTGTTTTTAATAGAAAAAATCAATTTTCAATGGAAATACAATATTTGCAGAAGTCTTCTTTGAAAAATTCAGAATTTTCATCCAGACCTCTAGGGCCTGAAAATGTAAGTTTTCCACAAAAGAAGCATTTCTACCAAACTGGCTCTCATATATCTAGGTGTGTTGATTTCCTAGCAATACCTGCATCAACGTCCTCTCCAAATAAAACAAAAGAAACAAATTCAAAACAAGGCACTGTATATGGAGAAAAGCATGAGAGTATGTTGGAAGGCATGTGGGGACACATAGGGCAGGAGATCCCTTCATTTAAACCTGTATGTGGAAACCTCACCTTGACTCTCTCGAAGATGTACCGTGCAGAAGCCCATGAACAACTGGAAGGCTCAAGGGATTAGCAGTGCACTGTAACGCATTTCGCTCGTTAGTCACATGCGCAGCCTGGCTGGAGGCACCGAGTCCTTCCCGGCTCATGGCTATCAGGTGGTCTGGGCGTAATTACTCCGTGAGCATCCCACCGGACGGGCTGCCAGTTGAGAGATGGCGGAGAGGTCAAGGACTAAAAGAAAAGGTACTCACAGCTCTTTGCAGATGGTGTTTCTGCAAGCAAAAAAAGCACCAGTTCGGAGAGGTGTGTGCTGCTGTTTCGCACGCTGCGAAAAGGAAGGCACTCGGCTCTCTGGAGCTCGTAATGGATTTCACATTTTATAAACACATGCTAAAATTGGTTATGCATGCAGAAAAGAAAATGTATGGACAAGGATTTAAGCTGTAAACCAAACAATCTCAACAAAAATGTTACTTCAATGTAGTATCATACTTATTTTCAAGGCTTTGCAACACATACATTTAAGGAGAAAATCTGCTCTCAGAAATAATTTGCAATTCTCACACA